ACCGCGACCGCCAGTACTGCAGCTCCGTCTTGCATTTATTTAACTCCTGAAACATATATGTAAATATAATCAATACAAACATGTTTTAATTGAGATTTAAAACAGATATGATTATTTGGAAAAGTAGAATAACATATATCTAGCCATACATAATCTATTCTGACTAAGTATAAAGTTAATCCGTGTATGGTTCAAAATCTGCTTGAATTTCAACTTTCATACTTATCTAACCATGCCCATCACATCCATCCATCCATCCACACATCTCAACTTGAAAATTGTCTTTTATAAAGCATTGTACTTTCAATAAAACTTATCAATGCTTCTTTAAATATCTTTAATCTGACATACTTACAACAACAATTAACCATAGACATTCGTTCACATTCCGCATACAACTCGCAGCCACACGACGACATCTCTCCTTCCGAAGTCAGGGTAACAAACCCCAAACCCGCGTACAATCTTCACAAAACTACAACCGCCGATGCTATTACACTCGTACTGTCTCCGATTTTCTTTTGTATTAGTTTCCTTTAGAGAGACGTCAAGTAAAACGTAGTAAACGATGAAGTAAAACCATGCATTAAGAAAATTAAAAAAAAATGTCCTCAATTCCCACCCTAACACATACTAACAAAATACTAAAGTTGTCCAATTCTTGTGTCAATGCCACAATTAAAAATGTTTTAGAGGATTTTTAACTAATTTCATGCCACTAGGAATTTATTGTATGAAAGTGAACTGGGCATGCGAGTAACAACTGAAAGTGTTAAGTTACTAATATTTGTATTATATAACCTGCAACAAAGTCTGGAACTTCCGACTGGTCTCCTCGTTCTTCTTGTCGTAATCGTCAAGACGGTTGGCGTACTCCAGCGTCTGCTTCTGTTGCTCCGCGATCTGCTTCTGCTGCTCTGCGATCTGTTTCTGTTGCAGCGCTGTCTTGCGCTTACAGCTGCGCAGGTCCGTGCGCAATGCCGACAGCTGGTCATTGTACCTGGAACATTCACATACAATGTCAGTATCTGCTAGAAAAAATATTATTATAACATAATTGCTAATCTTTTTAATTTTTTTTAATGGCGAAGCGACCACTGCCTACCACTGTTAAATAAAACAAAATACTAAGGACCAGTCCCGACACTTGCTGATACAGGCTCAGATAGTTTAAAAATGACGTTACTGTCAGATAAGGTAACATAACAAAATCCGATATTTCCATGACATATTTTACACGCTGTATTGTTATCAGACTGTTTAGAATTTGATGGAACAGACCCTTAATTGGTTAAACTTTAGTGAGACATTATTATACCTAATAATTTAACAATTTAGGCTATTACTCACGTCTATTATCCCGGTGGCAGACTAGTTTCGTACTGTTTAGTTTTGCCGGTGGTACCATCGGAAATAAAAGTGACTGATAGCCATTTAATAATTAGATAAAACAAAATATATTGAGATAAATATCTACTAGGTTCATATATTACCTTTTTTGTCTTGTGAATACACAATTCAAAAAAGGTGTGATTCTTATTGGAATCCCCATGAGAAAATTACATTTATTACTAAATTATCCAAGCTATATTAAAAACTGATATTGTTCAGTTAGCTTTTTTTATGTTTAACCTTTAAGCTAGCACTTGACCACGATGCCACCTGATGACATGAATGTAAAAAATCTTATTGAGACTATAGAAGCTTCATCACATACACAACTATAACAAACGGCGTCTTTTATTAATTGTAGAGTTACTTATATTAGTAGTATAAAATGTGATTACTTCTTCATGCCCTGTTTGATGCGGTGTATCCGTTTCCTGAGCACCATGTTGCTCTGCGGCGGCGGCGGCGAGGGCGGCAGGCTCTCCTCCAGGTAGGGTATGGCGGCGGAGTCGCGCTCGCCCGCGCTGCTGCCCGGCGCCGCGGCCGGCGGCGGCGAGTCCAGGCACAAGTACGACTTGCTGCTCTCACCCGCTGATAATATAAAAATAATTTAACCACACGTCGAATATAGATAGAATAAAAATAAATTATCCATAACTTGGAAAATACTGGATATGAGACTATTAACTTTTTTCCCATCTTCACTGCGCGGAATTAAAATCTAGCAATAATGTAGCTTCCTAAAGATGAAGGAATTTTTAAAATCGGCCCAGTAGTTTTTACGTGAATCCAAAACAAAAGTACAAATCTTCTTTACAATTTTAATCATCCGTAAATTGCTAAAGGCACTTATTTTTTGTAGTATAAGGTGACAAACGAGCGAATGGCCATTGGAATTCGCTAGAATTGCAAAGGGACTTTTGTCCGTGGTAATGTACATTGGCAATAGCATTGCCTACTTTTAATTAATAGAGGAGGGAATGCACATAAAGAGAATATTTTCTCTTTTACATAAACAATACCACACCACATAGAAGACAAGCGTGAAATGGAAGCAATTCCGTGTTTCGTCTGACGAGTGTTTTCTCTTTACCACCCTTTTCTTATAAGGATAGGATGGAAAGGGGAAGTGGATTTCACGGTGGAGGAGATGCATAGGAAGGGGAAATATCCACTTTAAGTGCGTCTCCTCTTCCGTCAGATAAGGGTAGGTAACGCATCTGCAACTGCGGATGTCTATGGGTAGCGGTCACTTCACCATTTTGGAGGATTCAGGTGGCCGCTTGCTCGTGTGCCACCTTATGTTATAAAATAAAAACCACCCAATGTTGATTTTGTAAATACTACAAATTTGCATGTCATCCTTGTGCTAGGGCTTTATCTATACTTATATGATCTGTATTTTTGTAATGTAATAAGTTTATTATAGAATATTGTAACCAGAAGCATTACTGTGCAAATATCACTGTGATACACAAACAGGAAAACCAAGCTCTTTGTACCTTTATGTGAATGTTATTGATATTATAAAATGTAATTTCCGTAAAAAGGTTTTTATGTATAACATAAAGGTAAAAGTATAAATGTTTAATAATATTGACCAAAAGGATAAAAATGTAAGTATTTAACACTTATGAAATTCATAAACTCTTAAAACAGATTAAATTGTATGTAAAGAAACATTTGTTAGTCCTTAAACAAGTTTGGCTTACAAAAACTTACATAAAAATATATAAAGCGAGACCAATTTTCAGTCACGTAAAAATCACTGGGTCAATTTTAAAAATTCTTTCACCATTAGAAAGGTAATTTATCTGAGAATAAGATGGCTATACTCTTTTATTAAAACCATTAATAAATAGCGTATTTTTTGACCGAAAAACGCTGTATTTTAAATTTTCTCGGCTTACGCTGCGTAAACCGTTAGAGTTACATAAAAATTATGTATGAAAGAATAGTAGATTTCAAAAAGCTCTACAGAAAAGTCCGCGATGGCATATATCTATCTTTAACGGTTTTTTTACAATAGCCATTTTTTGTTTAGAAAATGCAGCACCAAAATCCGATACTTCCATCACATGTTTTATACGTTGAATTGTTATCTGATAATTTACTATAATTGTGAGACAGGCCCTAAGTGTCCTTTACAGTATTTAAATTGGACGAATACTTTAGAAGATATGGCGAACACAAATAATAAGGTTAACCGAAATATTAGCTCTTAAACTACTGGGCTTAGAAATATGAAATCTTGCATATAAATTTCTATTACTAAGTAGAGTATTACTGTTACATCTCACGTCGAGTCTCAAATACGTATTGCGAAGAGATTTTAACCAAGGTTGCGATATAGGGCGAACATAAGTTTTGTTACTACTAAATCATTATGATGATTATTTGTAATCCTTTCATATAACTAGCATTATTTGAATGTTTAGTTATAGACAAATGCCATTTGACTTTATAATCTATCAACCTCTAAGTGATAAGCAGGAGAGCTACATGAACCACACATTGCATTTTAGTTTAACCTAAAAGTAGTCTAAACTATCTTTGTCCCATAGCTATACTTTATCATAATCATTTCAAAGATTAGGCAGTAGATAAAACACGAAATAAAAGTAGTTATCATAGATGAAATTTAAAAAAAAAACTTGAAAACTTGATGAAATTATGACTTTCAACAATAACCACCATAATGAAATTAGACATTGCTATAATTTATAGGTGAATCATGTACACTTAGCATGTAAGGCATAACATTTCCCTACTTAAAGAACAATATAGTATACAGTTGTACACAAATGTTAAAATAATTTGTGAACATTCTAGAATTCTAGGAAAACCTCAATCATGAGTTCATGATGTACTTATGTTCATCCAGAAACATTTGTGAAGATTAAAAAAGCTATCTTGATGTTATTCATTTTGTGACTTAATTTGATGAAAATAATATGAATAAAACTAGCTTTCGCCCACGACTCTATCCGTGTGGTATTGGAAAAAACAAAAGTGAACATGTGTTCTTGCAGACTATAGTCTTTCAATGAAATTTGGTATAGATGTAGAATATATTCTACATCTATTTAGTGTACAAACTCAAACATCCATCCATCCATCCATCTAAACTTTCACATTTATAATACTAGTAATACAATGACAAATGCTTGATGTAATAATGATAATCTTAAATCATCAAGATTAATGAAAAATGGACAAAAATTTGATTGACGGTTAAATTAGTTTGTAACTATCACTAGAAATTAATTCCTTATTACTAAAAAAGTATCAAGAAATACTTACGTGAAAATGCATTAGTAATATCAAAGAAATCAGTACCAAAGTACGTTATTTCAGGCAAATTAGGTTCAATGTGCTCTTTAAAATATTCCATTGCCATTGTAGTTAAATCAAACAACTCATCCGTTACTTTATAAGGTCTCGCCAACTTTGTTGCTGTTTTCAAATATGAAAGAATGCCATACACTTCATCCAATATCTAAAATATAATGTAAATGATAAACATATTTCCACAATATAAAACTTTAATACAATAAAAAGGATAAGTTAACATTGACTACATATAAAATGATGTATTAAGTTTTAAATTGTCCTGTTTGTATTTAAACATAAGGCTAAAATAGCAAATACAATTGTGTTTAAACATTACATGAAAATGTTGTGATGCTATACTTTGTCATATTTATGTAAAAGCTATTGACATTTTAAATGTTAATAACTAGAATAGTATAGGTGAAGATTAGATATAATTTTCTATAATTATGACCTTCAATCCAATAAATCTTATGCTTACATAAGATTTATTGGATTCTTAAATATTAAACAAAGAAAATTCATGATAAAAATTTACCTCTCCAGGAAAAAAACAGCAATGTTTCCTCTCAATGTGCTTTCCAAATGTCATTTGCAATAAACTCAATCTCATATGTAATGTCTCAATGATATCTGATTCACATGCCAAAGGATGGCTTCGACGAGCTGACTCCCTTCGGGGCATCTTAGCTTTTATTGACTGAAATCTATGCAGCATCTGATTTTGTAGACGTTGGAATGTTGAATTCAATAAGCCACTGCAAATTGTATTGAACTGCCTATTGACCTGTAATAACATTGTTTATTGCAACATGGTGATAACCTAAAACATAACACTACTTCTGAGATTTCGACTATCACTCAAGTGATATGGATTAAATGGTTTTTGTGTTCAAATTGAAGCACATTAAACAACACTTTTTTCAATATATGCAAGTTCCTTTTTATAGCATTATGGAATAAATGTAATAAATATACTTTACAGATGGAATTTAACTAATATTTGAAAATGTTACCAATCTCAGTTGCGCGACTGCTTTGAATCCCAAAATGCGGAAAATCTTTTCCACCACTTCGGTTGGCATGTCAAGGAAATTAGTAGTAAATACTTTTGGTGGAGGTGCTAATGTATTTTTAGAAGACCCGGCATGCGGAGAGGAGCCCCCGGGAAGCAAGGCGCTCGAGTGTCGTGTCACACGGGCCACCGTGACCGGCTCCGCGTGAGATGGACCTGAGCCATCGCCACCACCATTGCTGCTGCCTATACTACTCATTTGCCTCGTCGAAACCATTGTGATTAGTTATTTTTCTATCACTTCTGAAAATAAAACTTTCTCCTATAGTCAATTTTACACTTTAACGATTATTTTTTTTTATTTTAATTAGGATAGTTAATGTAATCTTGATAAGTTCATTTTGCGAAATATTCGAAATCATTAGTATTATTTAAATTTACACGACAAAATATGCTACTATACTGTTGATCACAATCGAACATTTCTAAAATGGTGGCCATGGTAGGCTAGGTCACTTGAGCATTCGAGTAGGTATACCTACGATTATAGACATCATGATCCGACAAACAATTTAACTCAAATAAACCACTCACTCAAGAGTTCATGCACATGTTTTATTTGTTAATTATTAATTTTATCTTTGGTTTTCAAGCAAATTTAAATGTTAAGACGCAATAGCCACTAGAGCGCTTAGCTTGCACAAAAAATATTTTTTTGTTTGTTGGAGATGGAGAGAAAACGTTCAGACTTGGCACTACAGTGCTACCAACATTACAGTTTCACAGGCATGATTTTACCAATTTGTACCAATTTAACAAAACCACAGACAAATGTAGAGAATTGCATGCAGAAGCATTTTTGTAATGTAATAAAAATGCAAAACTGTGATTCATTCAGAAGATAATACGATGGTAAAACCAATGTAACCCCTATAATAAGGGGGAGATTAAACAAGAGGGAGGAGACTATTTATTTCTCTGAATGGCAAAAAAGAGAAAAGATTGAAGACGGTAATCATTTAGTACTTTCTGTTAGCAACATCACTTAAGATGTTGTCAATTGTCATTGTCACTGACATTTCTGTCAAACTGTCTACTATTAACCTATAGGAATATTTATTTATTGTTTTAAATTGATTGTTTAATTACGTCGTATTTTAATTAGTTTAATATTATGTATCCTCGGTGTGGAAGCAGTGGTTCAATTCAGAATATCCATCAAACTCCATCATCATCTAATCATAACTCGGGTTAGAATTTAATGTTCATAACTTCAATAAGGAATATGTTTACTAATTAGGTTTTATGCTCAAAAGTTATTTTTATATCAACCATAGCCCATGTAATTAAATTGATTGATATCTTCAGTTAACTGCTGATAACACTATATATTTTTTTAGAAGACGAAGATGATAGTGGCGATAACAAGGCTTCAGCTCTAAGCTTCAGAGAAAGACGAAGGGAGGCCCATACACAGGTTTGCTATATTACAAGTAAAATTTCAATCATACAAAAGATATAAACGGATATTAAAAATGATTGTATAGCAAAATTTTAAAAATATGTCACAGCTATAGCATTTTAATTTTTTTCTTCATATTTTTATCATTATCCCTATACCAATGTATATAGTTTTCAACCTGACACAACAGTAATTTATAATAATAATAAGGTAACTTTAAATACTTTTCAGGCAGAGCAAAAAAGAAGAGATGCTATAAAGAAAGGTTATGATTCCTTACAAGAGCTGGTGCCCACATGTCAACAAACAGATGCTTCTGGTTACAAACCAAGTAAAGCAGCGGTAAGGAAATTACAAAATAATAACAATTTTTTCTTGTACATATACAAGTCATACTATTCCAATAGAAGACCAAAATGTTATTAACAATATTTATTTGAGGTTGTTACACTATTTTAAAACTTTTGTGCATTATTAAGTGTGGATTGTCTCTAATCATTTTTTTTTTCTGAAATGATTATATATTTCTACAAAATTCCGGACTAAACATAATACTTTACCGTTTTTTGTAGGTATGCAGAAACAAATGAATGATAACAATAATGTTGAATAGTTTATATTTAATTGTTTTGTAATCTTGCATGCAAACAGCTCATGATCTTCATTGTGTCAATATTTGTCCAATTTTGTTAAGTTTTGGTTTTTTCTATTTGTAACTATCAACTGTGCCAAACATATTATCTTTGCTCAGATAAGAATAATGTTCATTTTATTACAACTACTATAATCTTATCTGTGTAAATATGTTGTAGATTAGAAAAAATAGTTTTAATACATGTTTCTATCTGTAAACAATTGGGAAAAAAAATATAAAATGATTAATTACATGTATTTATTGTTCATTAATTATAACAGTAGTTGACATCTTAAATATTAAATGCTTTGAAATGGACATTTAAGATAGAAAACACTAAAAGATTAGTTTTACGAGGTCAAGGTCTTGTTTTCAGGTGCTCCAAAAATCCATAGATTATATTCAATATCTTCTTCAACAAAGAAGAAGACAGGAAGAGGAAAGGAATGCACTACGTAAAGATGTAGTGGCGTTACGCATAATGCAGGCTAACTATGAACAGATTGTGAAAGCCCAACATTCAGTTCCCGGACACAATGAACAGAGGCTAACTGATCAAGATAAATTTCAAGTGGTGTGTATAAATTATTCCATTATTAATCCTTAACATAAAATTGTACATTACACTTTTACCGACTTCCCAAAAGAAGCAACTTGTTTATTTATCAATATTTTTTTTACTCTGTAATTAATTGAACAGTAGAAATTAAGAGTTCACATTATGGAAACACTGGTTAGCACTTCTAAAGAACAGAATATACAATCATGAACAATTTGGTAGCATTATAAATTTGGTTTCACTACATAATTGAGTGTTATGATGAGACCTGATCAAACCAATTTATCAACAAATAGATAATAAATTTGATTGTTTATTGTCGCTCATTAGAATTGCTATAGTCCAAGATTTTAGAGTTGCCATTTCTTATGATTCTTATGAGTCATTCTAGCCAGCATTTAAAGTTACATAATTTATTTTATTTTGTCATCAGTTTCAGGGTATAATGGACAAGTTATTTGAATCATTTGAATCTGTGCCTACAAACAATTTTGCTGAATTTTCCGCTGGCGTATTTAATTGGCTGGAAGAATACTGCAAACCTAATTCTCTAAGGACATTGGTACATGGAGTTTTACGGGAACAAAATTATACACCATAGACTAACTTTTTTTAATTACAATGAGTTTATATAAGTTGTTACTACACATTTCACTATCATGTACATTTTGTATATTACAAATTAAATAAAAAAACATTTAAATAAGATTAGCTAATAAGAAAAAGTTGAAATAAAATATACAATCTGTTATGGATTATTTGTATAAATGTATATTGAATTTTATGTAATCTGTTAATTATTAAAAAATTATATTATTTACATTGTTAATTAAAATGTAAACCGCATATGTATGTAGTTTATACATTTCTAAGAATTTTGATAATAATGTTATAGTTTATAGTGTAGTTTGAGATTTTGTTCAATATATGGTTTTCTTTTAATAACATTTGAGTTGTTGAATTAACAAAATTCTAAATTTTATAAAGATATTATGTTTAAAAAACTTGGTAGATATTGAAGCTGATGAAAGTACAGGGGTTATAATTATATTAAATAAATCATAATACTGCTCATGTTTTGTTTATTTTTTTGGTACATCCATGATCCTCTATATTGATACATTTTTAATTCACAAATTAGACTTATAATCTGTTACCAGAGTGTAATTTAGAATTTTTAAACTTGTTTATCAAAAAAATAGTTCCTTAAATGAAAATTAATACAAGTCCTGAATATTGTTTATATTTTTATGAAATTCCGTTTTAAGCAATTATGGAATTATAAAAAGAAAACTTCCAACGAAGCCAGAAACTAGTTATAGACAAAGGTAATAATAAATAAATAAATAAGTAAATAAGTCTTACATATTTGATTTTAAAACACTTTTATATCGAAAAATGAATATTAACATATGTGTAATAAACCAAACATTTTAAACTAGTTTTTTCTTCTTAATTTCTATTTTCTTCTGTCAAAATAGACATACCGATATATAATTAAAAACCATGTTTTTATTCGAAAACTTGTATACGTAATTCGTATTTAATAAAAACAAACTACTACTGTTTCAGATAAAATCAACAATAACATTTCTCAACGTCGTTAAAACTTGTTTCAAACTTTTATTTATTTGTTTATCCCACAGGCTTCTGTTTGCTTAGGACCATAAAACATAGACATTATATATGTAACTATGTATCATTACTTTTTATTGTATTAATGCTTAATTTTAATTATAACTAGCATTCAGATTGTTACATTATTTTGCTTTTTAATCTGTTGCTTACTAAACTTTCGATACATTTTGAAATATCAAATATTCTTATGTAAGTTAAAAATCTACACTTACCTATAAACACCTTCAATTTTTATTGAACATTCGGAGTGTTAAATCATACGTGTGTAGGCAAATCTAGTTTAACTGACAGTTAAAATGTTGCCTACACACAGAAGTTTAACTGTGTAGTATGTTTGTTCAGTTAAAAGTGAAAGTGTAGCGTTGATAATAAAATATATATGTAATCGTAGATAAATTATATCATTCGTTTAAATTGCGTTTAGAAACTCGTATACAAAAAAATAGTCATGTTTTTTCTTAAATTTGGCACTACAAAAACATTCATATATTCTTATACAACTACTTTAAATAGCAAAATATGCCATAAACGTGTTAAACCCGTTCACTTTCCGTAGGCTGCGAGAGAAGAGTCACATCTCCCATAGGATAGCTTTCAGTTCTTCTAGCGCATGCTAAATTCTTGGACCTCTCCCGCGGTGTGCCGCAGCAAAGACGTTTGAGCACGCACGCGTAGCACATCAGCAGGGACAGCATCAATAGTAATCCAACTATTACTGTGACAACCAACAATATTCTAAGTTCTCCATTGGATTCCACACCACCAGAGTTCCGACCCATTTTCTCTTGTTACTTATCTGTAAAACAAAAAAACTACGATTATTACTAATTATGATTTACTTTCGGTTTAACAAACAACTTGGTCATTGTTTAAAGTAAAAATTGAGTATTCATTTATCCAAAAATAGAAGTTTAAACGTTTTTGAAAGTTTCCACCACAGTTCCGTGTGGGCAACCGAAGTTTCCTCGTTAGTTTACACTCACAAATGTTCTGGAATAATTTAGCTACGGAACTCTAAGCACCAATAGCCTTTAAAGCGCGACCTCATATACCTACACTTTGGCGATTTAGTAAATAGTATTAAAATGAAAAAATCTATACGTTCTCATATTTTATTTGATATGTAATCTACTTTACGTATCCATTAATAAAATTTATATTTAAAGTTGAAATTCGACGTCTTGATGTCGTAATATCGTGGCGTCCTTTTCCACCGTCTCTACAAATGTACTCCGACTGATTATAATGTATTGAAAGCGTAGCTCGCAGGGATCACTCGCTGAGTTTACTTCAGACTGACAAGCTTAAAGTTAATGGTTCGAATTCCCTTAAAATGTATAGTAACTGAATAAAACATACACTTTTGGAGTCAATTTTTTAAGCTGAACTTAAATACAATAGTTTAATCAATTATTGCTGAACCAGTTAAATGTTGTTATTTTAACAAAAACTCT